TTATTCAGTAATTTCCATATACATATTTTATAAATCTTATTTTCAATAATTCTCTTCTCTTAAATAAATAGAGAATAAAACTCATTTATCAAGCATTAAACTCCTTCTAAACTTAACTAAACACTAGGAATAATAAAATAAAAAAAATTGGGATGTTACAGAACTCCCAAAAAAGCTACTCGTCAAGAGCCCAACAAAAACTGGATACAAAATCCAATTTGTAGTCAAGATTCAAAACCTGAAGCCCAAGCCTAAAGAGGAAATTGGATCTCCATCGGAGGAACTCACAAAAGCTTTGGCAGAGGCCCTGGGGAGCACGATCTAATCTGAGGATGAACCAGTGTTAGAAGAGGCCATGGATAACGGCCTTGAGGATGATATACTGCCGAACCGCTCCTATATGGAGCACTAAAACCACCCTTCTTATGGATAAAGCTTTCCTTGTCTGGAATTGCCAAGAGGCTGCAGCCAGGAAGTTCTATGTTGTACTCAAATCCTTGCTTCAAGAATACAAACCGAACGTTATTGTCCTGATGGAACCAAGAATATTGGGAGTTAAAGCTAACAGAGTAATCAAGAAGACTGGATATCCTAACTCGCACAGGGTAGAAGCCTCTGGTTTTTCTGGAGGAATATGGGTCCTGTGGTCTGACAAAGTAAACACCACGATATTGCTTAATCACAGACAATTCATTCATATGGCGATAGAAGATAATTCACGCAATGGGCATAAGTTCTTCACTGCCGTTTATGGGAGCCCCAACCAATCTCTTCGTGGGAATATGTGGCAAGAACTACTCAAACTCCCATAGATGCCCAAGATACGTGGCTACTGGCTGGAGACTTCAATGCAACCTTAAAAGCCAATGAAAGACAAGGAGGGGCTTCTCCTTCCAGAACAGGGTGTAATGCCTTCAGAGATTTTGTTCAAGAAACGGGCCTTGTAGATCTGGGCTTTGTCGGGCCCAAATATACTTGGAAACGGAGTAGCCTAATTGTTCGTTTAGACCGAGCCATCTGCAACAACAGTTGGCTAAAAGGCAGACCCAGCACCCAAGTCATGCATTTACTGCGTATCCAGAGTGATCATCGCCCTCTGCTAATTAAAGGAGAACCAAGCCCAAACGCCCCAAACCATCCTTTCCGGTTCCTCACATCTTGGACCTTGCATCCAGGCTTCAAGGACTTAGTTCTGCATAGCTGGAACCAAGAAAAAGGGCTTTGGGAGAATTTAGAAAAATTTACAGAAGCAGCTAGAAAATGGAACAAAGATGTATTTGGCTCAATCGGAGAAAGCAAAAAGGACATTCGTAAACGCCTCCTGGGGATGCAAAGAGCTTTAGAAAGACAACCTTTCTCTAGCTTCCTACTTGATCGGGAAAAATCACTCATTTCTGAATACGAGAACATATGTCTAAGAGAGGAGTTCCCATGGCTGCAGAAATCTCAGAGCCAATGGATTAATGAAGGTGATCGGAATATGACTTACTACCACACTAAAGCATTAATAAGATGCCACCGTAATAGAATTTCCATGCTCAAGAATCAAGATGGTGTTTGGGAATCTGATCAGAGAGAGCTCAGTCGAATGATGTCAGCTTACTTTCAACACATTTACACCTCCGACCCGAACCAGCAGCCTGTGCGATACAATAAGGGCATGTTTCCCCCATGTAATGAGTCCTCCGCTCTCTTGCTTAGTAGCCCAGTCACCAAGAAGAAACCAGGAAGGTGTTGTTTGACATGCACCTGCTAAAAGCCCCCAACATTGATGGTATGCACGCTCTTTTCTTTCAATCCCAATAGGATATAGTTGGTGACACTGTTTTTAAGGGAGTTAGAGATATCTTCGAAGGAGGGGAGCTTGAGCCGCACTTTAACCAAACTCTCATTTGTCTTATCCCGAAAGTAGAGCAACCCCAGACACTGAGAGAGTCCCGTCCTATTAGCCTATGCACTACAATCTACAAATTGCTCACTAAGATCATTGCCAATAGGTTGAAACCAATCATGGAACAACTTGCACTTCCCTTCCAATCTAGCTTCATACAAGGAAGGAATATCACAAACAATATAATCGTCGCCTAAGAAGTCATACATACGATGAGAAGAAAGATTGGAAAACAAGGTTGGATGGCAATCAAAGTGGATCTAGAAAAGGCCTTCGATCGACTGAGATGGGATTTCATTGAAGATACACTTCTTAATGCAAAGATTCCGGATCGTACTGTTCAACTCATTATGAAATGTAGTACGAGGTCGACTATGCAGGTTCTCTGGAATGGCTCAGCCAGTAAGCCCTTCACACACAGAGGGGGATTCGGCAAGGTGACCCACTCTCCCCATACATCTTTGTCTTATGTATGGAGCAGCTTTCCCAAACCATAAACAAGGCGGTAGTACAAAAACAGTGGAAGCCTATCCAGCTGGGAAAGGGCGGACCTCAACTGTCACATTTATTCTTCGCTGACAATCTGGTCCTATTTAGCTCCACTGACCAACAGCAAGTAAACCTCATCCATCAAATCCTTGCTAACTTTTGTGCTTCATCCGGGCATTGAGTGAGCCAAGCAAAGACTAACATTTACTTCTCAAAGAACGTTGCAGCTTCTACGGTAAACTCAATATGTAGCAGCTTAGGTTTTCAAAAAACAGAGCAACTGGGAAAATATTTGGGTGTACCTCTCTTGCATGGCCGTGTCACCAAAGACACATATCGATACATTGAGGAACGCATGTAGAAGAAACTTTCAGGATGGAAAGCTCACTCCTTATCCTTAGCAGGGCGTATCACTCTTGCACAATCTGCTCTTTCCACCATTCCCCTGTATGCTATGCAAACGACTAAGATTCCCATTTCAGTCTGTGGAAGGCTGGAAACCTTAATCCGAAACTTTATATGGGGTAGAACGGAGCATCACAAAAGTGTTAACCTTCTCCGATGGAAGGACATGTGCCAACTCAAAAACCAAGGTGGTGATGGAATCCGCGAGTTGAAAAGTCAAAATGCAGCCTTCCTCATGAAGTTAATATTTGCGCTCATTAACCAGCCCAACCTGTTATGGGTTCAGGTACTCAAGGCCAGATACAAGTGGAATGGATACCCTATAGATAAAATGAGAACAGCCAACAGCTCCCATCTTTGGAGAAACATGAGCGCTGTTTGGGAAGCTGCAAAATTGGGGATCAAATGGGACGTTGGGAATGGCGAGCATATAAGGTTCTAGACTGACCACTGGGTGGGTGAGCTAGGACCACTTGCTAATCTCTCTTACACACCCACTTCAAATGAAGAACGCCAAATAACATTAAGCAACTTCGTCTCAAATGATGGAAAAGGGGATTTAACCACAATACAAGACAAGCTGCCCAGCTCCTTAATCAAAAAAATCTCTAGTAGCCCCCTGCCGCAGGGAGCACATGCTAGCCTCCCAAGGCGTGGGACATGGTGGTTCAATAGCAATGGTGAGTTCACTGTCAGTTCAGCTTACAACTTGATAAAATCAGACTAAGAGCACATCGAAGACGCCAAATGGAAATATGCATGGCAATGGCCGGGAGCCCAAAGAGTTAGAACTTTCTTGTGGTTGGCGATGCATAATAAGCTACTCACAGATAGAGAAAGGAGACAAAGACACATGGCCGAACAAGATACCTGTGGAGTATGCGGCTGGGACAGTGAGGACCTAGACCATGTATTGCGAAGGTCCAAGCTAGTGTCGGACTGCTGGCAGTTGATCATTCCAGACCACCAGCTAGCTAAGTTCCTTTCAACGCCCTTCAATGATTGGCTGCTTGACAACCTACGAACTCACAAATCCAACCCTGCTTGGTGTACCACTTTTGGACTCTTATGTTGGTGCCTTTGGGACGTAAGGAACCGCAATATTTTCAGACAAGAAATTACGCAAGCCTCGCTGCTAGTCAATGAAGTCATTGCTCTTTGTGAACAATCTATGAGAGCCTGTCGACTTCTATGTTAATTCTTGCGTCCTTCTGGTCTTGTTTGTTGTCAGCTTGTCTTACCCTTGTAAATACTTTTGAGCAATAAATTCACCTTTCAACTCAAAAAAAAAAAAAGGAGTGAGGAATGATGAACATCGGACTATCGAGTCTATAGGCCTAGGCCCAATCCACTTGAGAATTCGTACATCACAATGGGCCGGCCTATGTGCAGAAGCAAAAGCGCTCTATTTCGTAATTGCATCAAGCGATTAGGGGTAACTCAGGAAAGAAAATCGCAATAAACAGGCGAGGTCTTGTCTCCCGCATCATTTTGGTGTTTGTTGGGTTCATTCCTTGTAGATTCAGCAAATTGCAGTGAAAGATGTCGGGAAAAGGAGCGAAAGGGTTGATAATGGGTAAAACCCCAGCTGCTAACAAGGACAAGGACAAGGACAAGAAGAAGCCCGTTTCTCGCTCCTCTCGCGCTGGTCTTCAGGTTTTTCATTCAATCATTCCCCTTGATTTTCGTTGTTCTCCTGCTCACACATTTCATTTTCATAATTCACGTTCTCTAGTCGCAAAGCCTTCGCTAATTCGTCGATGTTGAATCAATTGCGTGTCTGTGGATCGTTTTTAGATCCGTGCTTTAATTTTGTGCGGATAACAATCATGCCATTTGGCAGATGATTAGAGTTGCAGGTCGCAAACTTCTACAATATGCTCTATACGGCATAACATTGATGCTTGTCTGTTCATAATCTTTTCTGTTCCTTTTACTTTAACAAGAAGTAATAGTTGGATGCTTTGGTTGATTAGCTCATCGGTTACTCGTTTGCTGAGAACCGTATCATACTGAAGCGCATATGAAATGAAATGGACTTGTTTAAGGTGTGTATATATCTGTTCAAGTTATAACTACTCATCTGAATGGGACCAAGGCCTCGTGTGGATTAGCTTAGTGGAGTAACCACTTAGAGATATGGCTCCAGAGAGCTCTGACAGGATGGATTTGTTTTAGTGATCTTGGGGACATGGCCGGAAGTAGCTGCTGGTCCTGAGGTTTTGTTCATAGTGTCGTTGAGAAATATGACTTGTAGGGATCAACATTGGTGATTCCTCTTATGTCCTATGCTGTGATTAGTTTAATGGTTCTTTCCTTTTGAACTGTCGAATGCATTCATCGTTAATTTCCTCAACCGCTCAGCATTTTCCATTAGGTCTTGGCCTCGTCATGAATCCTCGTGGTTATTAGCTCAAGAGATGGACTAATGGAATTTGAGGCTCAAACCATGTGTGGAATGGTATAATTATCTTCACGCTAATAAACATTTTACATTATAATCGTTAATATTCTCTCTCTTCCCTTCCCCCACTTCAGTGTAGATTCGTATTGTGTTTCCCTTCTATGGCTACCTCGTAGCATTGGTTACTCGTACGACGGCTGTTTAGTTTTTGTTGAGATTGATTTAAACCAAATATGTTACATTACAAAATATGAGCGGGGGCAGTAAATGGGACAAAAAAATTGGTGGTGAGTGAGGGATTGTTGCTTGCTATGTGAACCGTTATTGCAAGCAGCTGTTGAATATTTGCATTATGTTCTTCAAATTTATGTGGTGTGGTTCGAGTTGTGACGAACTTCTGGGAAAGGCTTTAATCTAAGCTAAATTGTGATTTTGATGATAATTCGTCAAGGTAACTGATGCATTATCGTCTTGTATAATTTTTTGCACAGTTTCCAGTGGGACGTATTCACCGGCTTTTGAAGTCGAGGGTGACAGCCAACGGACGAGTAGGTGCGACCGCCGCAGTATATTCTGCAGCTATCCTCGAGTATCTAACTGCCGAGGTTTTGGAGTTGGCCGGCAACGCAAGTAAGGATCTGAAAGTGAAGCGCATTACACCAAGACATCTTCAGCTCGCAATCCGTGGAGACGAAGAACTTGACACCCTCATTAAGGGAACTATAGCAGGGGGAGGTGTCATTCCTCATATTCACAAGTCTCTCATTAACAAGTCGTCCAAGGAGTAAGGTCTCTCGCGTGTTAGAATCGACCTTGCAAAACGTGCAACTTTATTGTAAATTTGAGGATATTTTATTTTGTGGATAACTGAGCTTGATACAAACTGCCTTCTGTGATGATTTTAGTAGTAATCCCTATTCGTATAAACAGATATGCTTGGCTTGATTCACTCTCCATGTAATTATACGTAGTAGTAATGGGTAAAACTGAATGCCGGCGATCTTTATATGCCGTTAATCGTTAATGGGCACCAGCGGATAGAACTGGATAGCCTGTATTGAAATTAAACAGCCAGCGAGATCCAAATCACACCTCTGGTCCTAAATATTTTTATACATACTAATATAAGAATTATATATTTAGGACGGGAAGGAGTACAAAGGTAACAAAAGGTAAACATTTCGGTGAGTTATGGAATAACCTTAGCTGGATCCAACATGCCAATTCAAACCAAAACGATGAAGTAGGATTTGCTCAAAGAAGTTTCTTTCGTCGCGTAGGACATTAGAGAAGTTAAACTTGACTATCAGCTGGGTATATTAGTAACTGCTGGTCAAACAGGAAAAAAAAAGAAAAAAGGCTGGTTATATTAGTAACTTGAGCTTTTCCGGTAATTCCAATCTCCCGCTCAGGCTCATTTTAGATATAACCCAGAGGTAAGGAGCACATGCTTATTTTCCCCTAAAATAATCTAGCCCCTTAGCCCCAACTTCTACTTCTTTTCTATTTTATTTACAACCACAACATCGATTTGAGGATAACTAAATTAATGAAATTACAAAGATATACGGCTGGGATACATCTTATCCTTAAAATACGTTGACCGGACCTCTCAACCTAAAACATTTCCTCAGAACCAAATTTGGCGATTTCAAAATTGAAAAGTTACATTCTTATCAGAAGGGGAGGGGGGAAAAAAAAGAAAGAAAGAGAAATTAAAGGAAAGTTGAGTAAATTACTGAGTAAATTGCTATTGAATGCCCGCGCTGACATCGGCAACACCTTTCACAACCGCCAATTCGGAAACTAATGCAATATGATCGCTACCCCACTTCTGTGTACAGACAGAAAAGGAGTTAATAAAACTCAAGCAGCAATCCATTCAGAAGCAAAGCACGTAGCTATGAAAATTAATAATTCAGGATCTAGACGAGCACGGGTAAGCAAAATACTAAAATGCCAATCCCCTTGCATTGAACTCTATTGCCAAACGCATCAAAATGAGTGTTGTAACCAATATGGATCCTTCAAATTCACAAATGAGGGTGTACATGATGCATTAGAAGATAGATTGAGTAGAGGTGAGAAATGACTAGTGTAATGATAGAATTGCGAGTCCTACATACAATCACATTCTAAACCTCAATAAAATACCTCTTCCAGTTAATCTTTCAAACAAAATGGCTAAACATTTAACCATACCTTTGTTGGGAATCCTGGAGTGAATTCCATAGCATGTTTGGGTATCGGAGCAAGCACCCTAATCGTCTGGAGACCATCAGATCGCCTATACCCCAGATCAAATATTCTATCAACCTCTTTTAACCCAGATATAAGGATACAATGCGTAAAATCAGCTTTTGAATGAAAATCAGTTATGCCAGAATTACTACTCAGGAAAACCATAATGTATATTCTAGAACATCAGACATAGCATTATTTCATGGTATGATCATTCTGATTTCAATCCAAAATCAAGCAGGCAGCAGGGGGTAGTAAAATAGCAACCCGTAGGCTTTTAAGAGTCTTAACACCTACCAAATGTAGTCAACAGTACCCAAGAAGCGTCGATGATAACTGGTCACCAAGGGTTCTCCATTAGGGTCCCTAGTTCCCGGACAATACTGCAGGCATGCAAAAAGCACCAAGTAGCATGAGAATAATAGACGAGCAGAAGTTTTAAAATAGTAAGGTTGCAAGATATCTCAATTTGCATTTTTCAGAACGACACAAGCAAGAAATGTGACAATTTGTCCCGTAAAAAATGTGCCAAAAAAGTTTGAGATCTACCATAACTTCAACATAGGTGCTCCTCAGAGGCAGAGAGTGCTCCAAGAAGGTGCAATCTGAGTTGCCTGTTGCAGTCTCTATCTCCGTAGAAGTCCACAAGGATGGATTGTAAGTGGTACTCTCTGCATCAAGAGACACGGATGTTGGACGTGAAGGTTAGTCACGTTCCACTACGTCACTTGGTGCATGGAGTAGCAAATTGTCAGAAGCAGACTCCAGTTTGTCAGACTTACCTGACTTTTCAAGATCTGTCCCAAATGACGGCAGGAACCCTTCTTGATCATTATGTAATGCGGATGTAAAGGCATCAATATCTTCCCTACTATTTTCACCGCCCAATATATCTTTATCCACCTCATCAAGGGATAGTTTCTCCAGTTTCTCATCTAATGAAAGGTCATTGTCCGCAGATTGCCATGATTTGTCAGCTTGATATGAGGTTAAAGTGCCACTCACTTGGACATCAGATGTCAGCTCAAATGATGGGCTTTTTTCATATGTCAAATGAGAGGTTTTAATAGAATCAGAAACTAACATCTGACTAGAAGGGTTAGTTGAAGAAATTTCTACACCGGGCAGCTCTGATGACTCAGGATTTAATTCAACCCCGAAAGATTGATTGTCTTCACCAAGGGAGGGTGAGCAATTGCCAAACTCAGTGTGTTTATTTCCTTTAGGAATATCCAAGTTGAATTGTTCACTCGCTGATTCTGGATTTGAAGAAGAGACGGCCTCTGATATTTTTTCTGTGCATGCCATCCCAGCTTTATCAGGGGAAACAGCTTTAAGAGCTAAAGATGTCATAAGTGTGATGTCCTGAATGTCATTATTTATATGATCAGCAAGCAACCTACCTTCATTAGAAGATGCAATGGACTCTTCTTTTGCACCATCAGCTTCATTGCTAGCCATATAATTGTCTACAGTAGTATGCTGAATATACTCTGCATTATATGAAGCACCGCTCCCATCTTCACTTTGCACATCTGTAGAAGACTTAGTAGACATATCCGATGCAATCTGATTATACTGACTTTCCACCATGTTACCTTGATTGTCCGACTTCTGCATGTCTGAGGAACAAGTATTTTGTTCAACATAAACTTCCTTGCTACCCAGAGCAGATATGTCTTGAACAGAACCATTTGCAGATCTTTCACTGCATTATTTTGCCAGATGTTATTAGATAAATTAAATTAATTTAATAGCATAGACACGGCATGGACAGAATATACCTAGAATTAGGGACATTAAGCCTTGGTTTGCGAATCTCAGCAGAAGCTTGTCCTGATACTTTATCCCTATCTAGTCCGGCCAAATTTAACTGTAATAAAATGAAATTACTATTTTTGTAGCTTAATCTGCATCAATCATAAAACCTGAAGAAAGAGAGTAAAGGGCCACCAATTTACCTTTTGTTCTGAAATAAAGTTGTACAATGGACTCTGACACGAGATTTAAAAAACTGTTAACTCATAATAGTGGAAGCAGCATTTCACATACACAAAAACGCCCAAAAAAAAAAAAGAGTGGAAAAGATAACCTTTGGAGTACAATTAAAATCCCCACAGATAACAACTGGAGCATCATCCCAGATTTTAGAAACAGCCTTAGCCCTGTCCAGTAGCACTCTAACCTGCTTGAAGTAAATTCATAGCAGAAAGCAATTACAAGAAGAAAGGCGGCAGCAGTATTTGCCATGAAAAAGAAAAGAAGTAAAAAGATGGAGGGTAAGAAACAAAAAAATTCCTCCCACAATGAGATTATGCCAAGTAATGTCTGTAGAGTCAAAAGTAGGAGTAATCTTCCACAGCTTTAAAGAGACAAATATATCAAATTATTCATTCCAATTCCTAAACTGATAATGAAATAAAGATTGGGAAAGAAAAAATGTCAGAGAATTATAAATAAATAATCACATAGAGCCTGCTTCAAAGACAGTGCATACCTGACCAAGCTTTATTTCTCCTCTGTTGGGATTGTAAAGAACGTGTATATTACAAATCACAACTTTATTAGAGCTCGTTGGGCTGCAGATACCTTGCAATGATGTTAGATTGAGCATAAAAATATCCAATAATAAAGATGTATACCCAAGGAAATATATATATGCAAAGAAAATCTATGACACTCAGGATGCCTCAATCATGAAGAAAAACCAGCCATTCTACTACAATTAAAGCCCAAGTCAAATAAACCTTGGCCTCATACATGACCCACCATTACAAAGCTTCATGTCAATGTATCAATATCCTGTTAAATTTATAGAAGAATTCACGTCTTCTGAGGATTTTAATGATAAAACTTCCAGGCTTTTCAGGAAAGATATCAGCCATGTTGACTTTATTTGGAAAACTGGAACACATTCTAGTGGTTCATCTTGCTTTTTGTCTCTATTTCAAAATGACTCTATCGTGCTTTCTCCTTCTAACTTCTCATGGAAGAAGCACACCCCTAAACAAAAAAGATTTTTTCATGAAAGTACTTCATCAGAAAATTGAAAATTTCTGACTCTTGAACCAAGCAGGAAGCATTAGTTTCACTACGAGAAATTAAAGTTAATAAAAGTGTACAAATCCAAGTTACAAAAGGATGGGTAAATACCTTGATGGTGGACATCTATCTTGATTTGTTAACTGTTCAAGGCAGAAAATCACGTAAAATGTGTGCATGCGCACCAAGGAAGAGACAAATTAGATTAAAAAAACACACAAATATGAAAGACTTATCATGTACCTCTAGCACACATATCTGAGCGACATTGTCCCTAAGCCCCATCTTATTAAACTCAATGCATTCTTCATACCGCAAATTGAACCTACCAGATATAAGCATGAATGAAACTATTTTCAGCAGCTAGCACCAGCAAGGTCAAGCTAATGGTTAACCTCCATTTCAAGCCAAAATAATAATAATTTATACATAGATACTGCCAAGAAAACACAAAAACGGTTAGAGGTATTAAAAATATCATAAAGCCAAAATATTTGAGGCATGCCAAAAGAGAACTTGAATTGATTTATTATTATCTTTTTTATTTTTTCTTCTTCTGATGTCCAGGGCCATGAGTATCACTCATACATTGCGGGAAGCAATCTTCTCTCCGGGAAATCTTAAAGGTACCGTTTCCTAACATTGGCCTACTGGATCTCTGGTTTTAATCAGAGAGTGCTCTCTTGACGAATTGAATCCAAGATGATAGAGAGAGATAATGAAATATTATCCCTCCATCAATTGATCAAACCCCTTTGGATTATTAACATCCAAGATGTTAATAATCTCACTGAATGCGACTTTTAAAGCATATTGCAAAAGTGAGATGGATTCTTATGAATGCAACCTTGCCTTGGAAAACATTTAGCACAAGACTCTTGATTATACATGATGTTTAAACATGAGTTAAATTTTAGACAAGCAAACTCTGTTAGCATCATATTAAGGAATTGAAGTTACATTAAGCAAATAGAAAGCAGCATTTAGGCTTCAAAATCAGCATGGTTCACAATAAAGCTGTAGAGGACCTTGATGTTCGCCAAAAGATCGCACAACCATCAACTGGATTACCCGTACGCATCTATATGTTAAATGAAATAAGATTAGACTTAATCATGCAGTTCAAGCCTTTTTGTTGCAATAATCAGAGCATCAGATGATTAACCAACAAATAAATAAATATGCTGGAAGATAAAAAGGAACACTGTTGAAAGCGATGATGCTGAAAATAGGACATTTCACATGACTAAGTTATATCATAGCTAATAACATTGAGGAGAAGTGACAAAGCACCCAATCCATCAAGTAAATGATGGGGCACAAATGTTCAATATGTCCACCAAGTGAAGCATAACTTTTTCTCTGTTTGACTCAGTATAGATAGCATTCATTCTCCAAAAGACGATGGATTAAAAAGGGTGATCAAACTCGACAGCAACAAACTCCTAACAGCCTTTATTGAACGGGACACTTAAGCCTTTCAAATTCATGATGATTAATGACATATCTTGTTGCATCTGATCACTAAATAAATATGAAGAACATTGTCCCTTGATAACACTTACAGAAATTCATTCAAAAAATGAAGCCTCTATCAAAGCAATGCTCATAAAAAGTTGCATAGCAAGGATTGAAGAAGTTAACGCACCTTCCAGATGCCGCTGTATCCGTGGTGCTTCAACTCCTCCTCCAAATCATCAAATCTATCAACCTCCTGGAAGTGATAATATATTATACAGGAATACTCTGTTGATGGTCAATCAAACAGTTTAAGTATAGCCCATACAAGCACAAATAAGAGCTAAAGGTAATGCGATCTGCACGAGACCCTAAGGAAAATTTTCAATTATTGTTTTGAAACTAGGTATAAGTAGGCGATATTAAATTGAAGAGACTCCTCTTCAATACATCATTCTTATATGGCTAAGTTCAATATCAGCAGTTCATAATGTCTTATGGAAGCCAAATTAAATCTTGAAAAGCACATAACAGAATTAGCACATAAAAAATCTTAAATCAAGTTATTTGTGATAGGATTAATCAGTGCGGTGTAATAATGTATTGCAGATAGATAACCTGTAGACACATGATATCAGCCGACCACAATCCAAGTTCAAAAAGTATATTTCTCTTTCTCCATTGCCAGTCCAACATCCAAGGAGGTATGTGAGAGTAAAGTTTGCTCCGGTGATCAATAGCAAGGTAGTCAGCCAATATATTATATGAAAGAATTATAAACCGGTCTGTGACGAGGAAAAAACAAAATATTACAGTGAAACCAACACAGATATATCATACGAAATAATCAAATTTATCAATAAACCTGTATAGAGAAATTCTTAATAATAGAATGTTTGCAGACCCCTTCTAATCAGGAAAGTAATGACAAAAGATTATATTATCATGAATTAAAATGTAGGCCAGTTTAACATTACTTCACCAGAAACTCCAGCTTAGTTATGGGATACTAAATCAAAAAACACAAATTCATTAGGCAAAAGGAAAACTTGCCTCATAGACCTCTTCCTAAAGCTAAATTTGAAGGCCCGGGATAAGTCAACAATATTATAACTACATAGGCGTGAAGTTACCGCAATCAGGGGGAGGTGGCGTAGCAGCATACTCCCAATCTCGGTAATCCGGAGGCCGCGGTCGAACCTTTTGAGCTCTATTGTAAGGAGGAGAGTGATTGTGAGGAGGAGGATGACGGAACTGTTGAGCATGATTGTGATGAGAAGGGTGACGAAACTGTTGAGCATGATTAGAAGGAGAAGGGTGACGAAACTGTGGGTTCCGATGGTAAGGTGGGGAAGGTCTTGGATTAAAAGGTGGATTCCGGTCTCGCCGGGGGTTCGCGAAGCTTCCGCTTTCTTCTCGCCGGTACCCCGAATTGACATCATGGACTGACTGGAAGTGCTCGTCGCCAGTCACAAGCTGTTGCCTCCCACCGGAATAGGGACGGTTGAAGAATCCTCTTCCCCGTCCACGAGGCTACAAAAAGGAGTAAAAAGTGGACATTAAACTCGAGCACACAAGTTTGCAGTTTCAACAGAACAGGCAGGAATCGACAGTAAGAGTATACATGCTTATTCGGAAACATAATGGCGGCGTTGGCGTCAGAAGCGGCGGCGGCGGCGAGGACCTGGAACGGTGGAGTAGCCCGTCTCATGGTAGAGAGAGCAAAGCGGGAGTGTGGGAGGGGAGTACCTGATGGAGCAACTGCGCGTGAGGCGGTGACCTGGCGAGTCTGCGCACGCACGTTCAGTAATGTGACGCGTGGCACATTTTGGCCCCTTTGGTGTGATGTTTTGACCTTCAAAACGCCGGTTCGAACCTCGATGAGTCAAATTTATTTGAAACAATTTTTCAGCAGGAAAAAAGGGGAAAAAAACATCTCAAATCCCTTTACCTCAATCCGTGAATATACATTGGCCCAAAAAAAAAATCCGTGAATATAACGATAAACTTATTTTAACTAATTCATCAAAGAAGATTGTGAAGGAGAGAACAAGGAAATGTCTTCGGGGTATTTGGTTCACTAAAAAATACTTTTAAAATTTCTCTCACATCATTTTTAAAACATGGTTTTATTGTTTTTATTTTTGGAGTATTAGCTTCGAATGTTGTTCTGTCCAAAATAAGGTGCCGCAAAAACGCGCCCAAATCTTTGATCGAAAAAAAAATAAGCTTATCACGAACTAATAAATGCGCAAAACACAGCCCAAACAGGTGTGGCGCAGATCAAATTGGTCCGTCATCGAAACACAAACGTGCACGACAGAACGATCAAACACACCTCATCTTCAGAAGACGATTATGGCAACCATCAAAAACTAAGCAAGCAGGGGATTAGGAGGGTACAAGGAAACGACGATGTCGTTTGGTTCATCTCTGTTGCCTCCTCAGTCTGCTTCATTCTTATCCAAGGCCAAATCTTTCACCACCCAAAACAGAACTTGTTTAACTTGTCGCTTCAAGGCTTCTGCTGACGTTCCCGATTTTCTTTCTGCTAATTGGTATGCCTCGTTATCTTCATCCCCATCTGCTGACGCTTGCTCTTGATGGGATTTTGACTGCTCTCATTTTTCAGCTTTTTCCATCGGACAATTAGCTAAGCTTAGTTCCTTTCTATTTTATTTGAATGATACATTTCCTATATTACTTAAGAAATTTATAGTAGTAAAATAAAATTCAGCATTTTCGTTTCAGAAATTATTGAGGAGAATCGGTATATAACAAGTACAATCTACGTAGTAAGGATGATCATTCTTATGGTATGGAACTGAGAGAGCAGTTTTTTTGCCACGAACTGCCGTTGTTAATAAACTTAGATGCAAACAGATTAATATAGTTACTTTATGTCGTGTCTAGGCCATTACCTGCACATGCCTTGTGAATCCGACACAAAACATGAAAGTGGCAGAACAGTACAGTAAAAATTGCAGTGCCAAAAGATATTTTGGGAAAAGAAAATTTAGTTTTATCAGCAGTGTCTTTGTATGGATTGTGGAGAACCTATTCTTCGACATTTTAATCCCATTAGTCATATAGTAATTTGCAATTTCTTGGTTTTCTGTCCTGCAGGCTTGAATCTCGCAAGAAAAGACCTTTTGGCCCGAGATTAGATGTAATTCACTGGCTATGCTTGATGTGACTGATTGACGTTACCACGTGCCCCTTTATATTTTAGTCATTAACTGTTCTTATAGTTTAATGCAGAAGAAGCTGTACATTATCAGCTTGAAGCATTGAAATACAACGACCAACCCCGTCAAGATTATGGAATTGAGGTTATGTACAGGGTAATCTTGATACTTAAAAACTTTTTTGCAGCTTTTTTGCCATCAAGGAAGCAACTTGTTTAGTAATTCTGTTCTTCTGCTATTATAGTTCGCTGGGTTTGATCCTTTTGAAAGATCAACCTATTTTGGACCATTTTTCGATTTGGGCCAGGTTAGTAATGATAACTTTTTCCTTTCATTATACAGCTGATTAATGTTTATGTTGATAGTGTTCACAGTTGCCCAGTGCAGTTTGAAAGGTTTAGGCGTATTTTTCACCACTCAACCTATCGAGTGCTACTAGGTCACAAGGAAAGAAAGATCTTGAGCAGTTTGTTTGTGGAGGAGGTATCTCTTTTACATTTCTAGTAAAATGTATGTTTATTTCTAAACCTGTGGTTGTGTACGTTCAGGTCATTTCATGTAAGAGAAATATGTATGTCTGCCTTTGTGGATGTATAATTCCCAATGTCCCCTTATTTCCGTCTTCCTTTTATACCATTAATCTTATTGATGAACTTTGAACAGAACCAATATAAGCAACGGCTTTGGATCCGGGGGAATAGACCAGAGGAAGAGGAGATATTTCAATTTACCATGGTGCAGGTCTGATCATGGCACCTCTCATTATGATTGCATTCTTGCAAGGCATTTCATATTCCATTTTCAACCAAAAGGCATTTAGAAGCTTGCTTCTCACATCCTTTTTGGCGTCACATTTGGATGTTTGGAATCACGTTGGCGGGAGTCAAAACGGGTCTGAGCTGCTTTTGCCAAAACGTGGTTTTGACTTTACCTCCAACGTGATTGCGCGCACACCTGTCCAGGGTACACATTATATATCAGTAGTGATCATATGTCTCGTATGGCAGACAGCTCACATACATATGATGTATATGTTTGATGCATTCCTGCAATTAGTTCTGAGTTTTGCCGATTTCAATCGACAAATGGCTAATCACCGATGAAGTATTTTGGCAGTCATTTTCCTATTCAATAATCTCAACCTCTGTATCCATGAAATATGAATCTAATATATGGCCTCAGTTACGATGCAGTATAACTGAACTGAACTATCTTTACGTTGCTTGTAATTGGCAGAGAGTTGGTGGTTGCTGGGATGGTTATTGGTTGACGGAGTCTCTACTTAATGATAGTGATACTTTTGCTGGAGGGTTGGCGTATTGAAAATCTTGCAAGGATCAAATTTTTCATGTAGCCTGCTGTCCATTAAGACCAAATATGTAATATATTTAGCTAGTAATGGGGGTTATAGCTGGTCCTCGAGACACAAACATGTATCTATGGATTCTACGGGCATGTATTTAGTTACGCCCAACCCATTTATATTTTACATGTGCCTAAGCTGAGCAAAAAGTTGTTTTGGTTTCATGCAAGATCCATGTTTTCTTACTTTTCTGGACTGCAAAGGATTCTCATGGCCTGAGAGAGTGCAAGAGAATGGCGGGCAATAGGATTACATATAATTCTCGTAAATCTGAAAGAACAAAAGTGAAGTGGTGTGATTCAGAGGTTATTTCCCCTCTTAAATGTCTAACAAGCAAGAGTTGAGCAAAACATCACCTTTTGCCAATATGAAATCATCTCTCTCTCTCTCAGTTGCTCTAATGCGGTGAATCACGTTTTGATAACTGATATTGGAAAGCGACAGCTAAAAATTGAAGAATCAAATGGTAATAAATCAGCACTACTTCTCA